GGGGGGGGGGGAGTTAGACTTCCTCTGCTACTTCCTCCCTTCCAGGATTTGGCTGGGTCTCTGTTAACCCCTTCCTGCTTTGCCTCACTCCCCTTCCCTGGGACTGAACTCTGTACCCCACTCCTCAACTAGGGAAAAGGATGGATCCAAACTCTTTGTGTGTGTGTGTGTGTGTGTGTGTGTGTGTGAGAGAGAGAGAGAGAGAGAGAGAGAGAGAGAGAGAGAAGCTGGATGTGCATTGGAGGCACTAGTGAAAAAGATAGTGAACACCCCTGCAGTCTTTCTAGAGCCCCTAATGAGCTGCACCCCCCACACACAACCTACCTAAAGGGCTCCCTACCATCCCGGTCTCTGCGGCTGGACTTGTCTTCAGGTTTGGGCACCACTGGGATCCTCCTGGGAATCCATAGGTGAGACAGGTGGAGGAAGGGTTCCCAAACTCAGATCATCCAGGAGCCCTGGGGCCTGGAGTGTGGCACCTGCCAGTTACCCTAGCACGTGGAAGCTAGAGACAGAGGATAAGAGTTCCGGGCCACCCGGCTATATGACACCTTGTCTCAAAAAAAAAAAAAAAATCTTGTAGTGGCACATATAACCCAGGCTGGCGTGGGGGAACCTTGGTCTGAGTCCAGTCTGGGCCGAATGAGACCCTGCCTTCCAGTCTTCGAATGGTGGGACCTAGGATGCTGAGACCCTTTGAGACAAGCACCACCTGCTGGTTCGTGGTATTCACGGCTGAATGCTACAAAAGACATGTGGGAACCATGTAGGCCATGCCCCTCCATTTTACAAGCGGGGAAACTGAGGCCCTAGAGCAGAAGTGAGTTATTGCCAGCCCCGGGGGTTGGGACTCTTGTCCACAGTAGCCTATAGCCGGAGACCTGGGTTCCCTTGGCCATATCTGGATACCTGGATTCTTGGGCTAACTAAATCGGATTAATTCGGGCAAAGAGGCCCTCCACTAAGTGAGTAGGGAGCGGTGCCAGATTTGGGTCTGGGTGGTTGGCGGTGAAAAGGGAGAGTTTGCAGCGGAGCAGAAAAGGTATTTCTGAGGGCTTGCAGGTGGAAAGGGAAAGGGACCAGAGGTGGCTGCTGGGCTTGGGGGAGGAGTCAGGGGTAAAGAGACAAACCGAGGGGATTAACTCCACCCCTGTCTCCTGACCCCCCCCCCTCCAAGCCCACTCACGGTTCAACCAGGACAGGGCCTATAATTTGGTTTGTGTCTAGACAAATAATAACTCAGCTGGTGCGAAAAGGGAGGGACGAGGCCAGGCCGTGAGCAAGGGGTCAGAAGCAGCATGGCTTCCTAAACTCCCTCCCTGAGGTGGGAGAATATCGCTTTGGCGGGGGGTGGGGAGGGTGGGGGGGGCGTTGAAGGTGATGATTAGCTATCCTGACCCCATGCCCGGCCTCTGAACTTTCAGCTGCCCGATCTCAGAATTCATTTTTTTTAAGTCAGAGTAGAAATGGGGAGAAAAGAGGAAGTGGGGTTCACCTATTTACAACGCGTTCCCATTTCTGCAAAGAGTGAAAAGGGAAACGTGTATTCATTTGCTGGAAAAAAGATAAAAATCACCCAGAGTTTAATAATAGATTATGAAAGTCATAGCGTGTGTTTTATTTTTTTAATTTTTTTTTTTTGAAATCATAGAGGGTTCTAACAATAGAACTTCAGAATCTTGGGCCGGGAGACGCCTGGAATATTGGAAACTGACAAGGGTGCGTGCTGGCAAAAGCGAGGATAATAATAACAGAAAGCAAAGAACCAAGGCTCTAGAATGTTAGAACATTCGACCCCAAACAGGGCTGGTCATAAAAACCTCGGGACTTGAGAACCTTTGGATTCTAGAATGTCAGCAGGGTAGTTCTAACAGTTCCACATTCCTGCTGGTTGGTGTGGGCGTAGCAGCCAGGGTAGGGGTGGGAGAGAGACGCTCCTTAATAGAAATGGGGAAACTGAGGCCCAGCCATGACATGGAGAGGCCCGACTGCACCCCCGTCACCGTTTCCGCCTGCTGCCACGGCACCAGGTGGGCAGCGAGACACGCTGATCATATTTCAGCTTTAATGAGCCGACCGGAGCTGGCTGGTCCCCTGGGGCCTCCAGAATGGGGGAGATTGGGAGCCCACGGTGGAGGGAAAGAGGGGGAGCCAGCCCAGTGGCTTCCGAAACAAAAGTGGTGGGTGGGCTAAGGGGTGGTGATGGGGAGGCTCCTATTGTTTCTTTCTCTTGGCTTTTCAACCCTCCATGTCTTTGGATCTTGTAGGATTGGGGGGCAGGGGTGTCTTGTGAGACCAGGGATTTTTTTCTGATTTTAGTAGCTGAGGTCTGCAGGGGCTTGGGGTTCAAGCTAACCTTTCCTATCTCCCACAAATATTGTGTCACACTTGAACTTGTCCTTCCTGCAGGAACCTGAGCTTGGGGGAGCACGACTGTAAAATTTGGTCATGCACCTCTCCAACAAAGACTCACTAAGGTTAAGATAACATTGACTCCAACTGGGGCTGGGCAAGAGGTGAAGGGGCCACTTCAGCCACGGTGGGTCAGTGTGTGTGTGTGTGTGTGTGTGTGTGTGTGTGTGCAAGGTGAGTTCTAATTTGGGATCTAGCAGAGGATATTGGTGTCTTCACCCACACCCACACTCAGTTTTGAGGTCTGAACCCAATGCTTACTGTTTGCACTAGACTGCCGAGCCAGCCAGCCCCTAGCACCCACCTGCCACTATTCAACTCTGCGGCCACAGGTACACAGGGCATTCTGGGCTTTTAGTGGGTGCTGTGGATTTGAACTCAGGTCCTCTTGCTTTCACAATGAATGGTCTTACCCACTAGCCATCTCCCCAGCCTCCACAGTCGCTTTTATAAAGGTCCCTATTTGGTGTGGCGGCGCAGGCCTTAAATCCCAGCCCTCAGGAGGCAGATGCAAGTGGATCTCTGAGTTCAAGGCCAGCCTGGTCTACAGAGTGAGTCCGAGGACAGCCAGGGCTACACAGAGAAACCCTGTCTCAAAAATAAGACTAAATAAATAAATAAATAACAACAGCAGCAAAAAACCCAAATTCTCATTTTTGACAGATTTCCAAAGGGATCTGAAGCCCCTAGAAAGACAGGAGAATGGGAATGAGAGGGAAAAAATAGAGAGGGAGACACCTTTTAGCTCAAAGGAAAAACAGCTGGAACTCAGTTTCCCCATATGCACCAGGAAGAAAGAGCTTTCTGTCCCAGCTCACCACTTGAGCCTGTACTGTGGACTTCTAAGAATCAAGGTTCTGTAATGACTTGGGGGGGGGGGGTTACGGTGGCCAGATGTTGGGCAGGGAAGAAGACAGGTCAGGCTGTCCGTCTGTCTGTCCGTGCCTTTCTGCCCAATGCCTAGCTTCCCTATGACTCAGGTAGGCTGAGGACAGGGTGGATACCAGACTCTGTTCCCTGGGAGGAAATTGGCAATGGGAAGTTCATTTCCGTTGCCTGCCAGGAATGTTTGCTGCTGTGTACCCGTTCCAGTCTCAGCAGGGACCTGGGGCTGTGTGTGTGTGTGTGGGGGGGGGGTGTTCAGGGGACATGCAGCTCTTCATCAAGGGCTTTTATTTGGGTGCTGAGAATCTGCACGCAGGTATCACCTTGCACTCTGAGTCACATCCCTAGTCCACTACTTTTCTCTTTACCTTTTGAGACAGGGTCTCATTTATCCCAGGATTCATCCCAGGGCTCTATGCATTCTAGGTAAATATTTCACCAGCTGAGCTATATGCCTAGACCTCTCTCTTTTGGGGGTCATGGAGATTGAACTCAGGACCTTATGCATGCTAGAGAAACACTGTACTGTTGAGCCACACCCCAGCATCCACTGTGAGACTCTGGGCAAGCGTTCTAAAATTGCACTATATCCCCAGTCCCAAATTCTGCACGTTTTACTGACAATAATTTATTTTTTCAAAGATGTCCTTGTGTGATGTGGTTAGGATAAAGACTGTACCTGACTTCTGCAGAAATTAGGACTTCTAGAGGCAAAGGATCCCCTTGATGTCACAAGAGGAAGGGGGGAGAGATGAAAAGAGAGATGGAGATAAAGGGAGAGAGGAGAGGAGAGATGAAAAGAGAGATGGAGAGGGAGGCAGAGAGAGAAGAGAGGGAGAGATGAAAAGAGAGTAGGAGAGAGGGGAGGGAGAGGGAGGGGGAGGGAGGGAGAGGGAGGGAGAGGGAGAGATGAAAAGAGAGATAGAGAGAGGGAAAGGAAGAGGGAGAGGAAGATAGAGGGGGAGAGAGAGACAGACAGACAAGAGAGAGAGAAAGGACAGAAAGAAGGGACAGACGCAGCCAGGAAAGGTTTAGTGAAGACTTGGCTTGGGGCAGGATGGTGGTGGCGCACGCCTTTAATCCCAACACTCAGGAGGCAGAGGAAGGCAAATCTCAGTTTGAGGCCAGCCTGGTCTACAGAGTGAATTTCAGGACAGCCAGGGCTACACAGAGAAACTCTGTCTTCAAAAAACAAAACAACAACAGTAACGACTTGGCCTGGGTGGGAGGTTTTGATTGACGGTGGACTGGGATGGTTCCCATTTGTTTACCCAGGAACAAGCCTTTCCCATTCCATCTCCAAAGGGCCCAGATGTTTCCACCTCTGGGGTGGAGATGGTAGATGTCTAGGTACCCCCCACAGGGGACTGGCTTTAGGGATCAGGACACAGCCTGACCTTTTCGAGTCAATTAGGAGGCAGATGGGTCCTGCCCTTTAATCTCCCAGCACGCAACTTCTTCCCCATGGGTCTCCCCAGGACTTGTCAATGCCTGGGGTGCAGTGAAGAAGGAGGAGAGGGAGAGCCTCCTGGTGGAAGGAGGGCTGGAGGGTGGCATGCCCTCTCCTGGCTTCTGGAATTACTTCTGTACCCAGGTGCTTGTTGAGCACGACTGCGTGCAAGGCCACGTGACACTCAAGGTCCCTGTCCCCAAGATACAAGTGCTGTGAAGGGATAGATGGTTGTGAGGGTGGAGGAGACTCGTGAAGGGGTGAAGAAGTCCTAGGCCAGTCAGGATATATCCGTGGTGAAGGAAGTTCACTGGCTTGGAGAATGCTTAAGGGAGAAGCAGGTAAGGCAGCTCAGGCTAGCTGGGAAAAGTCTCCTTCCTTACCTGTACCAAGCACTAGGAGTTTCCATTTTTTTCCCTAAAGTCCATTCGTTTATATGGCAGCTAGAACCTAGGACCGTGCACATACCAATCAATGCTCGACCACTGAGCCATGCCCTCAGCCCCCCTCACTGGGGGATTCTAGGCAGGAGCTCTACCTCTGAGCCACACCCCAGCCCCTCACTGGGGGATTCTAGGCAGGGGCTCTACCACTGAGCCACACCCCAGCCCCTCACTGGGGGATTCTATGAAGGGGCTCTACCACTGAGCCGCACCCTGGCCCATCACTGGGGGATTCTAGGCAAGAACTCTACCACTGAGCCATGCCCTTAGCCCCTCACTGGGGGGGTTCTAGGCAGGGGCTCTACCACTGAGCCAACCCCAGCCCCTCACTGGGGGATTCTAGGCAGGGGCTCTACCTCTAAGCCAACCCCAGCCCCTCACTGGGGATTCTAGGCAGGGGCTCTACTACTGAGCCACACCCTCAGCCCCTCACTAAGGGGTTCTAGGCAGGGGGCTCTATCAATCACTGAGATACTCCCCCAGCCTCTTGGAAGCCTTTGGAGGTTCATGAAGAAAAGAACATCTTCCTGGCCACCTTGGGAAGTGAATTGAGGGAGGGAGAGTGACAGGACAGATGTGTCCCAGGCTCCTGAGCAGCGAGGGCAGCATAGAGCCAGCAAGAGTTTAGAGAGCCAGGCATGGATCAGGGTCCATCTGAAGGTAAAGCAGGACAGACTTTCCTTGGGAAAAAGAAAGACGTAGACTTCTGGGAATTTGCTGTGTGAGTCCAGGCTCATTCCTTGTCCTCAGTGGACTACAGTATCTTCCTCTGCCAGTAGATTTAACCAGCTTCTCTCTGCTCTCTCTCATCTCTCTGTCCTCCCCTCCCCGCCCCTCCCCACCTCTTTAGTGGACCGGAGACAGGTGTTATGTGCTGAGGAGAATGCGTGGAGGAGGAATTCTGAAATCCATTTCACTCCTTTCACCATGTGGGTATGGGGATAAAGCTAAGGTTGTCAGACTTGGTCGCCAGCGCCTTCCCTGACATAAGTCATCACACGGGCCCCTCAAATGGTGGTTTTCAAGTGTGTCCTCAGAATTTTTCAGATGTGACTTTTCAGCCTCCACATTATTCCACCCAGACCACATGGACTTGCTCCTTTCACTATCTTAGATCAGATTTTCATGTATGATCTCATTTTTATGGCTTTCTCTCCTTTTTCTTCATGACAGGGTTTCTCTGTGTAGTCCTGGCTGTTCTGGAACTCATTCTATGACCAGGCTGAGCTCAAACTCAGAGATCTGCCTGCCTCTACCTCCCGAGTTCAAAAATGCTTTTAAAGCTGGGCCAGGTGGTGCTCGCCTCTAGTCCCAGCTCTCAGGCTATCCTGGGCTAAATAGTAAGACCCAATTTCAAACAATCCAACAAGCCAGATGACAGATGGGTAGAGGCGTTAGCCTGGGATTCCCGAGGCCAGGCTAGCAGTCCCAGGTCTGTGCAAACTGAGGAGTGGTGCACTCCTGTGAGCTGAACACTCTGGACTAGGCTGAAGGGTCAAGGAGTTCAAGGTCATCCCCAGTGATTTAGCAAGTTCAAGGCAGTGGTGGAATTTAATCCCTGCACTCAGGAGGCAGAGGCAGGCGGACCTCTGTGTGTTTGAGGCCAGGCCTGGGCTACAGAGCAAGTTCCAGGACAGGCCCCCCAAACTTGTAGAGAAACCCTGTCTCAAAAAACCTGAGAAAGCCGGGCGATGGTGGCGCACGCCTTTAATCCCAGCACTCGGGAGGCAGAGGCAGGCGGATCTCTGTGAGTTCCAGACCAGCCTGGTCTACAGAGCTAGTTCCAGGACAGGCTCCAAAGGTAAAAAAAAACCCACAAACCTGAGAAAGGGGCTGGAGAGATGGCTCCGTGGTTAAGAGCATTGCCTGCTCTTCCAAAGGTCATGAGTTCAATTCCCGGCAACCACATGGTGGCTCACAACCATCTGTAATGAGGTCTGCTCTGCTGCCCTCTTCTGGTCTGCAAACACACACAGACAGAATATTGAATACAAAATAAATAAATAAATAAAACCTGAGAAAGAGAGAGAGACAGAAAAAAACTAATGTACAGACCATCAGGGGCTTAGTGCATGAATGTTCTCTGCTCTAAACTTGTAGAGCATCCCAGGAAAAAAAAAAAAAAGGGAAGGTAGTGGATGGGTCCAAGGTCTTCACTGGGACAATGTGAAAAGAGAGGGCTGTGAGGGCCCCTGCTGATGTTAGCCCCAGGCTTCTCCTGGTTTCTTGATCCTGACCTTTCCAGAGTCTACAGCCCCCCCCCCCCCCC